GCGCAGCGTGCATCCGTGCGCGTGCGTGTGTGTGTGTGCGTGGGGTGCGCAGCGTGCATCCGTGCGCGTGTGTGTGTGTGTGTGCGTGGAGTGCGCAGCGTGCATCCGTGCGTGTGTGTGTGTGCGTGCGCGTGTGCGTGGAGTGCGCAGCATGCATCCGTACGCGTGTGTGCGTGTGCGTGGAGTGCGCAGCGTGCATCCGTGCACGCGTGTGTGTGCGTGCGCGTGTGTGCGTGTGTGTGTGTGTGCGTGCGCGTGTACGTGGAGTGCGCAGCGTGCATCCGTGCGCGTGTGTGTGTGCGCGTGTGCGTGGAGTGCGCAGCGTGCATCCGTGCGCGTGTGTGCGTGTGCGTGGAGTGCGCAGCGTGCATCCGTGCGCATGTGCGAGGAGTGCGCAGCGTGCATCCGTGCGCGCGTGTGTGTGCGTGCGCGTGTGTGCGTGTGAGTGGAGTGCGCAGCGTGCATCCGTGTGCGTGGAGTGCGCAGCGTGCACCCGTGTGTGTGTGTGTGCGTGCGCGTGTGCGTGGAGTGCGCAGCGTGCATCCGTGCGCGTGTGTGTGCGTGCGCGTGCGCGTGCGCGTGCGCAGGCGCGTGTGCATGGAGTGCACAGCGTGCATCCGTGCGCGCGTGTGTGTGTGTGCGCGGAGTGTGCAGCGTGCGTCCGTGCGCGTGTGTGTGTGTGCGTGGAGTGCGCAGCGTGCATCTGTGCGCGTGTGTGTGTGTGCGTGCGCGTGATGCATGAGAGTGCGGCAGCGTGCATTCCGTGCCATTGTGCGTGTGGCGGTGCGGTGCCCGGCAGGCGCGTGCATCGTGCGCGTTGTGGTGTGCGTGCTGCGTGGAGTGCGCAGCGTGCATCCGTGCGCGTGTGTGTGTGCGTGTGCATGGAGTGCGCAGCGTGCATCCGTGCGCGTGTGTGTGGAGTGCGCAGCGTGCATCCGTGCGCGTGTGTGTGTGCGTGGAGTGCGCAGCGTGCATCCGTGCGCGTGTGTGTGTGTGTATGCGTGCGCGTGTGCGTGGAGTGCGCAGCGTGCATCCGTGCGCGTGCGCGTGGAGTGCGCAGCGTGCATCCGTGCGCGTGTGTGTATGTGCGTGCGCGTGTGCGTGGATTGCGCAGCGTGCATCCGTGCGTGTGTGCGTGAGTTCATACCTCACACTGCAGGGGCTTCAATTCGTCGTCTCCATGCACAGCCTGGTGTTTCTCGAGTCGCTCGGGCGTGCTGAAGCACTTGTAACACAGCGTACACTTGAACGGTTTGTCCGGGTTCACCCGCGCTGCAGCCGTCGTCGTCGGCTTCTGCTTCTATTTCAGACAAGAGAGAGACGCGTGAGTCAGCGAGAGAGAGGAGAAAGAGAGACAGAGAGACAGAGAGACAGAGAGACAGAGACAGAGACAGAGAGACAGAGACAGAGACAGAGAGACAGAGACAGAGACAGAGAGACAGAGACAGAGACAGAGAGAGAGAGAGAGAGAGAGAGTACAAAGGAAGCGACTAGCTAACATATGACGAGTGGAGCAGCAGACGGAAGATTATACCTCCTGTAACCATGGTAACCTTGCTCTAACAACGTAAGGCATTAACATTGTTCACCGATTGATTCGACCGCCAACTCCCTTGCTTTCAGTAGAAAGGCCCTCCCCCTGCACATGTAACAAGAAAAGGCAACGAGATACTAAACGTCGTGCAGTCTTCCACATCGCATGACGGACGGACGGAGGGATGGAAGGAGGTAATAAATAAGCACGCGTTTACCCGCGCGTGCGTGCTGGCATGCTCCACCAGCTCCCTCTTCTGCAAAAACATCTGCATGCACTCCGGACACTGGAATGTTTCTTCTGGCTTCATCGTCACGATATCTCCGTCCTGTCCCGCCTGGAGCTGCAGATGAAACGCAAAACGTTCGTTAAACAAGAGAACACCGGCGCTGCAAACACAGCTTCATTTACTCGCTCGTTAATTAACCTCGTTATCTTTTACGATGAGTACGCCCAGCAACGTTGAGCAGCAACGTTTTCTCCACTAGGGACCCTGCCGTTTACTGCAAAGTGAAGTCAATCACCTTGTTACTATTATATATATATATATTATATATACAACTATACATCTCACAAGCATTTTTATTCGGGACGTAAAGTTAGTTGGCTAGTCACGCCCTGCAGCGCTGCGCTCCGTTCAGTGACGGTGCTGCCGCGCGGTGGTGGTTGCCGTGGTTACCTGTGCGGGCTGCGCCTCCTGCATGCGCACGTCCTCGGCGGCGTGGGTCAGTGTGTGCAGGTTGAGCATGTTGAAGTTGTTGAAGACTAGGAAGCAGTGCGTGCACACCCACTCGCTGCCCCCCGTCTCACTGTCCAGCTGCTGCTTGTAGAGCGTAGCGCCCTCTCCCCCCGTCCCCGTCCCCGCAGACTCCTCTACCTCGGTGGCAGACGCCGACATATCCATGCCGACGAACGGTGGATGCTTGTCCTTGAGATGTCTAGTAGACGGGAGCGAAACACATCACAGCTCATTACACACACAGCGCTAGTTCTTTGTAATATGTTAGGTATAACGCTTCCGAGAAAAATTCTGTAATGTTTTATTTTTGGCTATCTCTGGTTGTGCTGAATACGGGGATGTGACGTACAGCGAGACCTGCATTTGTCACGACCTAAACTGACACCTGTCTATAATCAACACACCTGTCTATTAAAGTGAATTTCGGTGTTCCCTACGCGTGACAGTTACACCTCTGTAGAAGGGACACCTGTCTATAGAGGACGCTTCCCTTGCCTGACCCTCCCGTACGCGGTCGACTGACGGCGCGGCTACTGGAGGGCAGCACCTACCTTTTGAGGTTGTAATGGTGAGTGAAGCGCATCTTGCAGAGCGGACACTGGAAGCGCTTCACTCCGCTGTGCATCAGCATGTGTCGCTGCAGGCTGTAGGAACGCGGGAACACCTTGCTGCACACAGAACACTTGTAGTCCTTCTTTGTCGGGATCTCCTGCGAACAACGAACGAACCTAAATGCGGCGCCGCCTCTCTCTCTCTCGTGCGCACACCGATGTGGGACCGACCACGGTGTCACGCGACGCATCGTACGTAGTTACGACATTGCAAATATAAAAGTACTGCCGAGTTTTTTGAGCGCCTCGCCGACATCGACGATGTTTACGACAATGAGAACCTCTGGAAACACAATCACTCGCTGAGAGAAGATCACATGAACCACTCTCCCTCCCACAATATACGCTTCACCCTCACACCCGACGACACAGGCGGCACGGTTACCCGCCGACTCGAGGAACAGACGCGTACCCAGTACTTTCTCGCCGTCTTTCCGCGTTTCCGCTTCTTGAACGGCACCGTCGCCGTGCGTCTCGGTCTTTCAGGCCAGGGGGCGCTGTCGCTCGCCGGGAGCTTTTCCTCCGTCTCCTGTAGTGTATGAACAAAGAACACACGTTGCCACACGTCATCGCTCTATGACATGCCCACACCTAAACACCCCAGTGACCCCACGTGGTTGGTGAAGGTTTTATTGTAGATATACGATCGTGTCGGGTTGCCGAACGTATATCTACAGAATCTAAACGAATTTGATGTATGGATGGATGTATGTAATGGATAAATTGATGGACAAGCAAACACTCGCCATTCCGTTAGACTCCTCCTCGCCGTCGACGTATTTGAATTTCTTCGGCGGCCGTCCGCGCCGCCGCTTGATCATGTACGGCGCGTCCGTCTCCTCAGCGTCTGGGTAGAAAGTCGGGTCATCGTGAACGTTCAGATGTTCCTGCAGCGCCTCAGACGTGCGGAACTTACGGCTGCACTCGTAGCACGGCCACTCCTCCAGCGCGCCCGATGCTGTAACCACGGCAACAACAACGACGATCAGCGCGCGCGGGAGCGGCGGTTATATTATCAGCGGAACAAGATTCTAGTCCTGAATATTGCTAAGTGCCAGTCGAAACATAGGCAGTAGCTACATATACATAAATACTATGCGAAATATAGACTGTATCAATAGCATATAAAGAAGGAGAGCGTACAACGGTAAAATGCTGAAACCATGCTGCAGTATTAGTCGAATTAATAAACTTTTCCCGTTTTATTTTGACGATCCTTTGCAGTATTATTGATTAGCTGTCTTACCTTGTTCATATAAAACAACCAGCATGTCCTACGATGCCCCTACGCTGAGATAATTAAGCGGTGAAATCTGGTATTTTCGGCCAAAACCGACTCGAGATCAGGTGTGTACTGTGGGGCCGGTGTCCCTTCACTCGAAGTGTTTCAACTTTCGCAGTGTGTTGCTTCCGAGTCGCCGCTCGTGTAGCGCCATAGTGGCGCTGACTGTCACGGTAATACCTACCAGAGTTTACTATACTCCAGCTGTGAGTGGGCGTGAGGTGGGCACAGGTGGGGGGTCATCACTATGGCAATCACATACAGACGTCATTCATTCCATTTGTCAATCATTGACGAAACCGCCGAGTTTCCCCGACGTAATAACCAGCTACGAGTGAGGGACGGCAGTACACACTGATCTCGAGTCGGCTTTTTCGGCGAAAAATACGCAGATTTCACCGCTCACTTATCTAGCGTAGGGGTCAATCGTAGGGACATGGCGCGGTTTGTTATATATGAAGCAGGTAAGACAGCTAATCAATAATACCTGGCAACCGGAGTCGTCAACATAAAACGGGATAAAGTTTTATTAATTCGACTAATACTGCAGGCATGTTTCAGCATTTTACCGTTGTACGCTCTCCTTCTTTATCTGCTCTTGACTGTATCTACATATACATAAATACTATGTGAAATATAGGCAGTAGCTACATATACATAAATACTATGTGAAATATAAGCTGTAGCTACTTATACATAAATACTATGTGAAATATAGGCTGTAGCTACATATACATAAATACTATGTGAAATATAGGCTGTAGCTACATATACATAAATACTATGTGAAACATAGGCAGTAGCTACATATACATAAATACTATGTGAAATATAGGCTGTAGCTACATATATGTAAATACTATGTGAAATATAGGCAGTAGCTACATATACATAAATACTATGTGAAATATAGGCAGTAGCTACATATACATAAATACTATGTGAAATATAGGCAGTAGCTACATATACATAAATACTATGTGAAATATAGTGAGTAGCTGCCGTTCGAGTTGTATAGAGGGGGACAATAACACAGATTTGACTATTACAGACATTACTATGGGACACACGGGGGTACGCGCGCGGTGCAGCCCAGCAGGGGGCACTAGCTTACAGCTTCTCGTCTTCCTGCGCTCGCGTAGCTGCGTGTCGGCTCCCTGCGGCGTCGTCGTTGTCGTGGTCGTCGCGGCGACGGGGGCGGGCGCCGGATCGCGCGGCGCGTGGAGGAGGGGCAGGCCAAGCCGCTTCGCGTAGTGACCGGCGTACCAGACCTTCATCTCATCCTTAGGCTCTATGTTCTGTACACGACATAAACGTAGGTTCAAGATTTGTGGAGGAGACACAGAGAAACATAGAGAGAGAGAGAACGATATATATATATATATATAGAGAGAGAGAGAGAGATGGAGATAGAGATACAGAGAGAGAATGAGAGAGCGAGTACGTGCGTACATGCGTGTGTATGAGAGATAGTGAACACTCACCCGTATGCTGACGTAGAATATGTCGTTGCCATGCTGGTAGGCGATTAGGTTCTGGTCCTTCTGCGTCGTCGCTGGTCGCACAAACCGCATCCAGTTAGACTCCGCGTCATCGCTGTAGTCCAGCCAGTACTTCTGCCCCGTCTCCATGCATGCCACCTGTCAGCACCAACCACCGTTAGTTACATCGGTGAGATGCACACACATACGCACGCACATGTATATACAAACTTACAAAGACTCACACATCCGACAAGAAAAAACATTAATCGCTCACAACAACACACCTTCTTATTGGAACATACAAATATTCTCGTCTCATCGCGACATTAGTTAGCGATTGTTTCCCCGCATGACGCTCCACTGGCGTGAGGGATGCTGCGCTGGCGGCGCGCTAGCTAGCTCTCACCTGTAGGATGAGCTTCTGTCTGCTGGGCAGCTTGCTGCGATCGTCAACCCGCCGTGCGTGGAACGGTCCAAACTGTGTGCGCTTCGGTATGGAACGCTTAGCATAGACGCCCAGCTCTGTAACACGATGAGCAAACGTCACTCTGTGTCTGTACGTTGCTGTTGTTGTTGTTGAGGATGATGTTGTTGTTGTTGTTGATGATGTCGTTGTTGTTGTTGTTGTTGTTGATGTTGTAGTTGTTGTTGCTTAATATTGTTTGGTGTCAACACGTGAAGTAGAAGCAGCAGCAGCAGCAGCAACAACAACAGCAGCAGCATCCCCAGTCCCACCCGGTGGTGTACCTGTTATTAGCTCTTCTCCTCCTCCTCCTGTGGCGGCGGCGTCGTCGCTGAGGGCCTGTAGCACCTGCAGGTTGGTGGGAATGCTTGCCCATGCACGTGGCAGCACCACCTTGTCCACGACCGTACGGATCTTATGCTTCGGACACTCTCCGATGTAAACAGTCTGACAGTCCTCACACCCTGCAGGTGGCACAACACGACATTAGCTGCACGTAATCTAGTCTAGCTGTCTGGGTGGGGAGGGGGATCTCAAGGACAAACTGCATAGTGTTGATTCTCATCTCGTGACGTTTGGAATAAATCCTGGCAGGAATTCAGGGGAGACCTCTATCTATTATATCTTAGATTCTCATCACCTACTAACTTATCTATTATATCTTATATTCTTGTCATCTACTAACACATCTATTATATCTATATTATCTAGACACTCACACATCTCCTCTGGATTGTAAGCGATGGGCTGGTTCGTGGCAGGACCATTCTGCGTTGTCGACTTTGCAAACTCTGGCGCCATCTGCTGACTTGACATGTTCGCTGAAACACAATCACAAGCGCATGTAGATGCAGCGAGAGGCGTGTGACAACAGACATTAATAAATTAGACATTTGACATTGCTGCGATGTCAACAACATCTAACGAACGCATCTCTCTGGCCACAACTTTAGTACCATTTATGATATTTTGCACCTTTTAATGTCTTATTGGAATATAATGTATATATCAGGGTTCTCCAAGCTTTTTCATTATAGCATGGGGTCCTTTACGGTCCTAGTTGCAAATCGCCGAAGGCGGTTTGCGTGCTAGGGGGGTCCGGGGGCTATGATATTTAGCATGGCGGCTATGATATTTAGAGTGGCGGGTGCATTTTAGGATGGCGGGCCTCGACGATAGCCTGGCGGGCCGCCAGGCTATAAGTGCTCTTGGAGAACCCTGTATATATATATATGATGGATATGTGATTGATATATATTGAATGATTGTGAATAGACTTGGGCAATACCGTTGTCCTTGTATATTCTGTTGTCGGTCGACGACTGTTGGCCTTCTGACTGCATCGATGGCGCCACCTATAAAAGCCAACGATGCAAACAAATGAACAAACGTATTTTCTCACACTATCAACAGTGTTGGTGAAATCCCACCAGTGCCCACTACAGTCAAAGCTGTGTTGGTGAAATCCCACCACTACAGTCAAAGCTGTGTTGGTGAAATCCCACCACTACAGTCAAAGCTGTGTTGGCAGCCACCTCCATAGAATGGACAGCTGTCTATAGTGGACACTGGTTAGCCTTGCATAAAAGTGCGAGTGTACATCACAGTATTTCACCACACTGTGTATCCACAAGCGTACACACGCACTCACGCGCATGGACTCACACAAACGCGCGCACGCACGCACGCACACACAGACACACACACCTGTTGTCGAGGGTTAGCTGCTGACGGCTCCAGTAGCAGCGACACGGTTGGCATGACGACTTCATTCGTCATCGTCTAAAACACATAAGATGAATCACATAAGTCTCACGATCCCACCCTCACTCGTCCTGGCAAGCAACAACTCTGAACACGGCCGAACTACCTCACGCTCCATGCGCCACACGACGTGATGCAGTAGAGGGCGCCACCGAAGGGTGGTACGTACCATTATCTGCATGGAGGGGGGCATCATGGCGGCGGCGACGCCGGCCGACTCCTCCTCCATCTCCAGCACCTGCATCGGTTCCAGCTTCGTACGTGTCACCTCGCCCGCCGCAAACTCCATCACTGCCGCACCCGTCTGCACTGCCGTCGTCACGACGACGGGCGCTGCCGTGGCGGTCGTCGAGGCAACGCCGGGCGAGGCGTAGGACGCGCCGACGCGGGCATCCGTCCGTAGCGCATCCTGAACAGAGTCCTGCGAATCCCAAGCCGCCATTAAGGTAAGCATTGCGTAAATTACAGCGGTTCACCGCTAAACAAACTAAAGAACCATTGTTGCTGTCGCCAGCAATTAAAAATGACTAAATAAATAGATGAACAGATAAAAAACTCAACATCCTTGACTTGTCGTCCTCGTTTAACAGTTTAAAAAATAATTAATATATAAATAAAAATTTGATGTTTTCACTCACGTCCGATCAAAACTGACTAGATAAATATACGGATAAATAAACGAACGAAATTGCGAGGAAGCATTTTCTTAGAATTTTTAACAAGCTTCGACACAACGATGCTCACTCTCTGCTCCATGCCTGCCTGCTGCAGCTGCTGCTGCTGTGCCTGCTGCAGTTGTTGTTGCTGCTGCTGCGTCAGCTGTTGTTGTTGCTGCTGCTGCTGCTGCGTCAGCTGTTGTTGTTGTTGCTGCTGCTGCTGTTGCTGCTGTTGTGCCAGCTGCTGGGCCAGTGCGGCCCTGAGTTGGCTGTCCGCGGTGGTCGTGACGACACCCGTCGCTGCGTGGACAAACTCTCGCTCATAGTGCTCCTCAGCCTCTGTCTGTCGTGCGATCAGAGGTGGCTCCACCTCACTGATCTCCCGCGGCAGGTTAGCGATGATGCTGGCCAGAGCCTGCAGCGAGAAACACAGTACACAGGGTTAGGGTTTAGATTAGAGTGAGGATAAAGATTAATGTTATGGTTAGGGTTAAGGCAAGGAGAAGGGTTAATAATGGGGTTAGGGTTAGGGTTACGGTTAGAGTGAGGGTTAGGGTTAACGTTAGGGTTAGGGTCAGGGTTAGAGGAAGGATAAAGGTTAAGCTTAGGGTTAGGGTTAGGGTTGCACGGGAATAGATAGGGAATGTTGCTAGTATACAGGGATCAGGGCGTCAAGTGACAAGTGACGCTCAAAAAATAGGAAAATAGGAATTTCAGATGTGAAAAAATAGGAGGAAAATAGGAATTTTTGTGAGAAAATACGGGATAATGTTAAATAGGAATATTTGTTGCGTTAGATGGCCACCCAACACCCCTACAGCCATCCCGATCCACCACAAATGGTTTTATTAATATACATATTCAGTGCTCGAAATAAGCGTTGTCCGGTTGTACGAGACAACCAGAATTTGCGCCGGACAACCTAACCAGTCTGAGACATTGTCCGGTAGACAACCAAGTAAAAAAGGTGACGAAAAACGCACTTTATTTATGTTTTTCTCAGGGGTTCTCCAAGAGCACTTATAGCCTGGCGACCCGCCATTAATCTATGGTGTGGGAAAGCGACGCATACCAGCTGCTATATTTCCATATACTGGTATATTTCCGTATATTTCCGTATTCCGTATATTTCCAACACTGGTATATGTCAGGTTTTATGATTTATGAGAGATGAAGTCGATTTGGAACCAGCAAACCAGCAAGTTCACCCCTACATTTTGGTACTTTTATTCCATTATTATTTTGAATTTTCCGATGGCTTTGCCCATGCAAAAACAAACAACAGTGGGGATTCATGTTGATCCGAAAGTTAAAAAAAAGAGAATTGTCGTAGTCAGAATGAAGACTGTACATGTACTCAAAAGTGCCGCAAATACCATCTCCTGCTATCTACATTTTCAAAATGTTATGGAGAACCCCCATACCCCCCGCTCGTTTTCACCCCCAGGGGTCGAAATTAGCGGTATCCCG